AGACCGAAAGTTCGCACAACTCTCCTCTCCCAAGTGTGAGTTATTTGTGTATGTATGAGTACACCTAGGTGGGTATAACAAGGTGTGTACACTTAGGTGAGTACACCTAGGTGGGTACTCCTAGGTGTACACCTAAGTGGGTACACTTAGGTGAGTACACCTAGGTAGGTTACCCTCACCTCCCTCCTGCACAACATGGCGTCAACATACCCGCATTGTGTCGCACTAATTCTTCATTATCTGTCATTACAGCTTTATTACTCTCTTCTCCCTCTCCCACCTCTGTTCCTTTCCCTTTTCCTTCCCCCCTCTCTCTCTTTCTCTCCCTCTCTCTCTCTCTCTCTCTCTCTCTCTCTCTCTCTCTCTCTCTCTCTCTCTCTGTCTATGTCCTTTTTTCTTCACATCTTCCTTCTACTCTTCTTCCCTTGCTTTATTCTTATCCTATTCATCCTCTATCGTTTCCCCTTGTTCTTTCTCTGTCGTTATCCTCCTCTCCCTCCTCCTCTTCTTCGTCCAAATTCTAAGTCACCCATTATTTAGTGGTTGTCGCTTAGCCTAAGAGAAACAGTGTTTATGTATGATGTTTAGTGAGGTTGTCTCCAGGAGCGTCATAAATATGCTTTGATATATGTTTATGTATGTGTGGATTTACTGTACATATATTACGAACTCCAAACCCTCTCTCTCCTCTCTCTCTTTCTCTCTCTCTCTCCCACTCTCTCTCTCTCTCTCTCTCTCTCTCTCTCTCTCTCTCCCTCTCTCTCTCTCTCTCTCTCTCTCTTTCTCATATACATAATTTTCATTGCTCCAGTTCTGTGGTGATGGAGATATTTCTTATATGTTGACACGTACAACATTTTATGTATGGGAGAGATGGTAATTCCAGTGTAGTGTATTAACTGCATCTCTGCTGGAGCGGGAACTCTTGAAGGTGCCGTAGTTGCTGTACCTTTAATGGAATACTTGAAGATTATCCTTCAGTGAAGTCTTCGTCAGCCCAGGCTGGCGGATTTTAACATTTTCCCATCCTCAAGTGATGGTATATGAGGGAGGAAGAATACGGTGGAACTGGAAGCTGCCTATGTAAGCCTCGTATAGGACAGAGAGAGGGAACAAAGTGGGACTGGAAGCCTTGCCTCGTATGGAAGAGGGGGACAAGTGGATGGAAGCTGCCTATGAAACTGTATGGGACAGAGAGGGGGAACAAAGTGGGACTGGAAGCTGCCTATGTAAGCCTCGTATAGGACAGAGAGGGGGAACAAAGTGGGACTGGAAGCTGCCTATGTAAGCCTCGTATAGGACAGAGAGAGGGGAACAAAGTGGGACTGGAAGCTGCCTATGTAAGCCTCGTATAGGACAGAGAGAGGGGACAAAGTGGGACTGGAAGCTGCCTATGTAAGCCTCGTATAGGACAGAGAGAGGGGGAACAAAGTGGGACTGGAAGCTGCCTATGTAAGCCTCGTATAGGACAGAGAGGGGGGAACAAGTGGGACTGGAAAGCTGCCTATGTAAGCCTCGTATAGGACAGAGAGGGGGAACAAAGTGGGACTGGAAGCTGCCTATGTAAGCCTCGTATAGGACAGAGAGAGGGGGAACAAAGTGGGACTGGAAGCTGCCTATGTAAGCCTCGTATAGGACAGAGAGAGGGGGAACAAAGTGGGACTGAAGCTGCCTATGTAAGCCTCGTATAGGACAGAGAGAGGGGGAACAAAGTGGGACTGGAAGCTGCCTATGTAAGCCTCGTATAGAACAGAGAGAGGGGGAACAAAGTGGCACTGGAAGCTGCCTATGTAAGCCTCGTATAGGACAGAGAGAGGGGGAACAAAGTGGGACTGGAAGCTGCCTATGTAAGCCTCGTATAGGACAGAGAGAGGGGAAAAAGTGATGGAAGCTGCCATGTAGCCTCGTATAGGACAGAGAGAGGGACAAATGGGACTGGAAGCTGCCCTATGTAAGCCTCGTTTTAGGACAGGGAGAGGGGGAACAAAGGGACTGGAGCTCCCTATGTAAGCCTCGTATAGGACAGAGAGAGGGGGAACAAAGTGGGACTGGAAGCTGCCTATGTAAGCCTCGTATAGGACAGAGAGGGGGGAACAAAGTGGGACTGGAAGCCGCCTATGTGTAATCGTATAGGACAAGGTAGCGAGTATACCTGAAGATGGTTTCAGGGGTCAATGCCCCCGCGGCCCGGTCTGAGACCAGGGTTGGTGCTGTTCTTTCCAGTTGTGGTAAATAAAAATAATGGCTGTTTCCTCTCTATGTCTGTCTCTCTTCCCGTCCCTCCATCACCTCTCCCTCCATCATCCGTCCCTCCCTCACCCGTCCCTCCCTCACCCGTCCCCTCCCTCAACACCCCCCCTTCCCTCACCCGTCCCTCCATCACCCGTCCTCAAACCCCTTTCCCTCCCTCACCCGTCCCTCACCCGTCCCTCCCTCAACCGTCCCTCCATCACCCGTCCCTCACCCGTCCCTCCATCACCCGTCCCTCACCCGTCCTGGTCTTCAACACTTAAAAAAAAGCAGACATGATCCCTTTTTTCTGATATTTGGATTTTCTAGAACAATTTTTCCACCGTTAAGCCTATACGGCCTACCCATATTTTTTTTTTTTTTTTTGTCCTGGCTGACGAGTTGCGTCAGGAGCGGCGGCTGGCAGTCAGGACCCACAAAGAGGAGGCTTTGTTGAGTGTGGTCTTTGTTGAGTGTGGTCTTTGTTGAGTGTGGTCTTTGTTGGGTGTGGTATTTGTTGAGTGTGGTCTTTGTTGAGTGTGGTCTTTGTTGAGTGTGATCTTGTTGAGTGGGGTCTATGTTGAGTGTGGTCTTTGTTGAGTGTGGTCTTTTTTGAGTGTGGTCTTTGTTGGGGTGTGGTCTTTGTTGAGTGTGGTCTTTGTTGGGTGTGGTCTTTGTTCAGTGTGGGCTTTGTTGGGTGTGGTCTTTGTTGGGTGTGGTCTTTGTTGAGTGTGGTCTTTGTTGAGTGTGGTTTTTTGTTGAGTGTGGTCTTTGTTGAGTGTGGTCTTTGTTGAGTGTGGTCTTTGTGAGTGTGGTCTTTGTTGGGTGTGGTATTTGTTGAGTGTGGTCTTTGTTGAGTGTGGTTTTTGTTGAGTGTGATCTTTGTTTAGTGGGGTCTATGTTGAGTGTGGTCTTTGTTGAGTGTGGTCTTTGTTGAGTGTGTGTCTTTGTTGGGTGTGGTCTTTGTTTAGTGTGGTCTTTGTTGGGTGTGGTATTTGTTGAGTGTGGTCTTTGTTGAGTGTGGTCTTTGTTGGGTGTGGTCTTTGTTGAGTGTGGTCTTTGTTGGGTGTGGTCTTTGTTGAGTGTGGTCTTTGTTGAGTGTGGTCTTTGTTGAGTGTGGTCTTTGTTGGGTGCGGTCTTTGTTGAGTGTGGCCTTTGTTTTGTGGTCTTTGTTGAGTGTGCGTCTTTGTTGAGTGTGGTCTTTGTTGAGTGTGGATTTGTTGAGTGTGGGTCTTTGTTGGGTGTGGTCTTTGTAGAGTGTGGTCTTTGTTGAGTGTGGTCTTTGTTGAGTGTGGTCTTTGTTGGGTGTGGTCTTTGTTGAGTGTGGTCTTTGTTTGTGTGGTCTTTATTGGAGTGGTGGTCTTTGTTGGGTGTGGTCTTTGTTGAGCGTGGTCTTTGTTGGGTGTGGTCTTTGTTGGGGTGTGGTCTTTTTTTTGGTGTGGCCTTTGTTTGGGTGTGGTCTTTTGTTTAGCGTGGTCTTTGTTGGGTGTTTGGGCTTTGTTGAGTGTGGTCTTTGTTCAGTGTGGTCTTTGTTCAGTGTGGTCTTTGTTGAGTGTGGTCTTTGTGAGTGTGGCCTTTGTTGGGTGTGGTCTTTTTTTGAGTGTGGTCTTTGTTGAGTGTGGTCTTTGTTGAGTGTGGTCTTTGTTGAGTGTGTCTTTGTTCAGTGTGGTCTTTGTTGAGTGTGGTTTTTTGTTGAGTGGGTCTTTGTTGAGTGTGGCTTTGTTTAGTGTGGTCTTTGTTGGGTGTGGTCTTTGTTGAGTGTGGTCTTTGTTGAGTGTGGTCTTTGTTGAGTGTGGGCTTTGTTGAGTGTGGTCTTTGTTCGTGTGGTCTTTGTTGGGTGTGGTCTTTGTTAAGTGTGGTTCTTTGTTGGGTGTGGTCTTTGTTGAATGTGGTCTTTGTTGGGTGTGGTCTTTGTTGAGTGTGGTTTTTGTTGAGTGTAGTCTTTGTTGAGTGTGGTCTTTGTTCAGTGTGGTCTTTGTTCAGTGTGGTTTTTTGTTCAGTGTGGTCTTTTTTTCAGTGTGGTCTTTGTTAGTGGGTCTTTGTTGAGTGTGGTCTTTGTTCAGTGTGGTTTTGTTGAGTTTGGGCTTTGCTGAGTGTGGTCTTTGTTGGGTGTGGTCTTTGTTGAGTGTGGTCTTTGTTGAGTGTGGGCTTTGTTTAGTGTGGTTCCCTTTTTTGAGTGTGGTCTTTGTTGGGTGTGGTCTTTGTTGGGTGTGGTCTTTGTTGAGTGTGGTCTTTGTTGAGTGTGGTCTTTGTTGAGTGTGGTCTTTTTGGTTTTGGTCTTTGTTGAGTGTGGTCTTTGTTCAGTGTGGTCTTTGTTGAGTGTGGTCTTTGTTGGGTGTGGTCTTTGTTGGGTGTGGTCTTTGTTGAGTGTGGGGCTTTGTTTAGTGTGGTCTTTGTTGGGTGTGGTCTTTGTTGGGTGTGGTCTTTTGTTGAGTGTGGTCTTTTTTGAGTGTGGTCTTTGTTGAGTGTGGTCTTTGTTCATGTGGTCTTTGTTGAGTGTGGGCTTTGTTGAGTGTGGTCTTTGTTTTAGTGTGGTCTTTGTTTAGTGTGGTCTTTGTTTTGTTGGGTGTGGTCTTTGTTGAGTGTGGTCTTTGTTGAGTGTGGTCTTTGTTGAGTGTGGTCTTTGTTCAGTGTGGTCTTTGTTGGGTGTGGTCTTTGTTAAGTGTGGTCTTTGTTGGTGTGGTCTTTGTTGAATGTGGTCTTTGTTGGGTGTGGTCTTTTTTTGAGTGTGGTCTTTGTTGAGTGTAGTCTTTGTTGAGTGTGGTCTTTGTTCAGTGTGGTCTTTGTTCAGTGTGGTCTTTGTTCAGGTGTGGTCTTTGTTCAGTGGGTCTTTGTTGAGTGTGGTCTTTTTGTTCAGTGTGGTTCTTTGTTGAGTGGTCTTTGCTGAGTGTGGTCTTTGTTGGGTGTGGTCCCTTTTTTGAGTGTGGTCTTTGTTGAGTGTGGTCTTTGTTTAGTGGGTCTTTGTTGAGTGTGGTCTTTGTTGGGTGTGGTCTTGTTGGGTTGGTCTTTGTTGAGTGTGGTCTTTGTTTAGTGTGGTCTTTGTTGAGTGTGGTCTTTGTTGAGTGTGGTCTTTGTTGAGTGTGGTCTTTGTTGAGTTTTGGTCTTTGTTCAGTGTGGTCTTTGTTAGTGGGTCTTTGTTGGGTGTGGTTTTTGTTGGGTGTGGTCTTTGTTGAGTGTGGTCTTTGTTTAGGGGTGGTCTTTGTTGGGTGTGGTCTTTGTTGGGTGTGGTCTTTGTTGAGTGTGGTCTTTGTTTAGTGTGGTCTTTGTTGAGTGTGGTCTTTGTTGAGTGTGGTCTTTGTTGAGTGTGGTCTTTGTTTAGTGTGGTTTTTGTTGAGTGTGGTCTTTGTTGGGTGTGGTCTTTTTTGGGTGTGGTCTTTGTTGAGTGTGGTCTTTGTTTAGTGTGGTCTTTGTTGGTGTGGTCTTTGTTGAGTGTGGTCTTTGTTTAGTGTGGTCTTTGTTCAGTGTGGTCTTTGTTCAGTGTGGTCTTTGCTGAGTGTGGTCTTTGTTGGGTGTGGTCTTGTTGAGTGTGGTCTTTGTTGAAGTGTGGTCTTTGTTGGGTGTGGTCTTTGTTGAGTGTGGTCTTTGTTTAGTGTGGTCTTTGTTGAGTGTTGTCTTTGTTTGTGTGGTCTTTGTTGAGTGTGGTCTTTGTTGATGTGGTCTTTGTTGAGTGTGGTCTTTGTTGAGTGTGGTCTTTGTTGAGTGTGGTCTTTGTTGAGTGTGGTCTTTGTTGAGTGTGGTCTTTGTTGAGTGTGGTCTTTGTGTGTGGTTTTTTTGGTTCTTTGTTTAGTGTGGTCTTTGTTGAGTGTGGTCTTTGAGTCTCTTTACTGGGTCTTCTTTTGCTTATTTTTTCTTCAATTTTTCTTTAAGGTTTTTTTTTCTTCATCTCTTGATCCAGGGCAGGGGAGAGACACTGGCCTCTCTTACCTTGGATCAAGCTGGTCTTTGACCTCCAGTTTGTAGGTTAGTACATGTTGGTTGGTGAAGGTTAGGGAGTATGTCTGTCTGTCTCTCTCTCTCTCTCTTTCTCTCTCTCTCTTCTCTCTCTCTCTTCTCTCTCTCTTCTCTCTACTCTCTCTCTCTCTTCTCTCTCCCCTCTCCCTCCTCTCTCTCTCTCTCTCTTTCTCTCTCTCTCTGGGCCACACCCATCTCTCTCTAAGCTTTGCGGTCCCATTTCCAACGAGCTGGGCCCCCTTGCCCCTCTCCTCTCCCTTTCCCATCTCCCATCCCTCTCCCCCCCATAACTCCCTCTCCCCTCTATCCCCTCCACTACAGTATATCCCTTGACTGTTTCTTTCATTATTGTCTTAAAGACGATGAATGGATTTCTGCAGTGAGAGGTGGTGTTGTAGGTGGTGTTGTTGGTGGTGTTGTTGTTGGTGGTGTTGTTGGTGGTGTTGTTGGTGGTGTTGTTGCTGGTGGTGTTGTAGGTGGTGTTGTTGGTGGTGTTGTTGTTGGTGGTGTTGTTGGTGGTGTTGTTGGTGGTGTTGTTGTTGGTGGTGTTGTAGGTGGTGTTGTTGTTGGTGGTGTTGTAGGTGGTGTTGTTGGTGGTGGGTTGTTGTGGGGTGTTGTTGGTGGGTGTGGGGGGGTGTTGGGGGTTGGGGTTTTTGGGGGGGGTGGGTGGGGGTTTTTGTGGGGGTTTTGTTTTGGGGGGGGGTGGTGGTGGGGGTGGGGGGGGGTTGGGGGGTTGTTGGTGGGGGGGGGGGGTGGGGGGGGGGGTGGGGGGGGGTGGGGGGGTGGGGGGGGGTGTTGGGGGGGGGGGGGGGGGGGGGGGTTGGGGGGGGGGGGGGGGGGGTTTTTGGGTGGGGGGGGGGGGGGGGGGGGGGGGGGGGGTTTTGGGGGGGGTGGGGTTTGGGTGGGGGGGGGTGGGGGTTTGGGGGGGTGGTTGGTGGGTTGTTGGGGGGTGGGGTGGGGGGGGGGGGGGGTGGTGGGGGGTGGGGTGGGTTGTTGGGGTTGTTGGTGGTGGTGCTTTTGGTGGTGTTGTTTTTGGGTTTGGTTTGTTGGTGGTTTTGGGTTTTGTTGGTGTTGTTGGTGTGTTGTTTGTTGGTGTTGTTGGGGGTGTTGTTGGTGGTGTTGTTGGTGTTTTTTGGGTGGTGTTGTTGTGTTGTTTTTGGGTGGTGGTGCTTGTGGTGTTGTTTGTTGGGGTGGTGTTGTTGGTGGTGTTGTTTTTGGGTTGTTGTTGGTGGTGTTGTTGTTGGTGTTGTTGGGGTGTTGTTTTTTTGGTGTTTTTGGGGGTGTTGTTGGTGGTGTTTTGGTGGGGTTTGTTGGTGGTTTTTGTTTGTTTGGTTGTTGGTGGTGTTGTTGGTGGTGTGTTGGGGGTGGTGTTGTTGTGGTGTTGTTGGTGGTGTTGTTGGTGGTGGGGTGGTGGTGTTTTGGTGGGGTGCTTTGGTGGGGTTGTTGGTGGTTTTGTTGGTCGTGTTGTTGGCGTGTTTTTTGGGGGTGTTGTTGGTGGTTTTTTGTTTTTGGTGGGGGTGGTGTTTTGGTGGTGTTTTTTTGGGTGGTGTTGTTTTGGTGTGGTGTTTTTGGTGGTGTTTTGGGTGGTGTTTTTGGGTTTTGTTGTTGTTGGTGGTGGTGGTGGTGGTGTTGGGGGTGTTTTGTTTTGGTGGTGGTGGTGGTGTTTTGTGGTGGTGTTGTTGGGGTTTTTTTTGGGTGGTGGGGGGGTGGGGGTGGTTGGTGGTGTTGGTGTTGTTGTTGGGGTTTTGTTGGGGTGTTGTTGGGTGTTGTTGGGGTGTTTTTTTGGGGTGGGTGGTGGTTTTTGTTTTGGGGTGGTATTGTTGGTGGGTGGTGTTTTTGGTGGGGGTATTTTTGGGGGTGGGGGTGTTGTTGGGGGTGGTGTTGTTGGTGGTGGGGGTTTGGTGTGGTGGTTTTGTTGCTGGGTTTTTGGTGGTGTTTTGGGTGGTGTTGTTGGGGGGTGTTTTTGGTGGTGGTGTTGTTTGGTGGGGGTTTTTTGTTGGTGGTGTTTGTTGGGGGGTGGTGTTGTTGGTGGGGGTGTTGTTTGGTTTGTTGGTGGGGTGGTTTTGTTGGTGGTAGGGGTTTTGGGTGGTGTTGGTGGTGGGTGGTGTTTTGGGTGGGGGTGGTGTTGTTGGGGTGGTGTGTTGGTGGTGGATTGGTGGGGGTGGTGTTGGGGGTAGGTGGTGGTATTGGTGGTGTTGTTAATGGTGGTGGGGGTGGTGGTGGTGTGTTGGTGGGGGTGGGTTGGTGGGGGTGTTGGTGGTGGGGGTGTTTTTTGGGGTGGGGTGTTGGGGGTGGTATTGGGGTGGTGGGGTGTGGTGGTGCGTTGGTGGTGGTTTTGTTGGGGTATTGTTGGTGTGGGGGTGTTGGTGTGGTGTTGGGGGGGGGTTGTTGGGGGTGGGTTGTTGGTGGGGTGTTGTTGGGGGAGGTGTTTTTGGGGTGGGTTGTTGGTGGTGGTGTTGTTGTTGGTGGTGTTGTTGGTGGTGGTGGTGGTGTTGGTTTTGTTGGTGATGGTGATGTTGGTGGTGGTGGTTGGTGGTGTGGTGGTGTTGGTGGTTTTGGGGTGGTGTTGGTGGTGGTGGTGGTGGTGGTGGTGGTGCTGTTGGTGGTGGTGTTGGTGGCGGTGTTGGTGGTGATGTTGGTGGTGGGTTGGTGGTGTTGGTGGTTGTTGGTGATGGTGTTGGTGGTGTTGGTGGTGGTGTTGATGATGTTGGTGGTGGTGTGGTGGTGGTGGTTGGTGGTGGTGCTGGTGGTGGTGTTGGTGGTGTTGGTGGTGTTGGTGGTGGTGTTGGTGGTGGTGTTGGTGGTGTTGGTGGTGTTGGTGGTGGTGTTGGTGGTGTTGGTGGTGTTGGTGGTGGTGTTGGTGGTGGTGTTGGTGGTGTTGGTGGTGTTGGTGGTGGTGTTGGTAGTGTTGGTGGTGTTGGTGGTGGTGGTGTTGGTGGTGTTGTGGTGGTGGTGTGTTGGTGGTGGTGGTGTTAATGGTGATGTTGTTAGTGTTTGTGGTGGTACCGGTGGTGGTGCTGGTGGTGATGCTGGTGCTCGTGGTGGTGCTGGTCCTGGTGGTGGTGCTGGTGGTGATGTCGTGGTGGAAATAGTGGTGGTGGTGCTGGTGGTGTAAGTAGTGGTGGTGGCAGTGGTGGTGGTGGTGCTGCTGCTGGCGATGTTGATGGTGTAAGTAGTGGTGGTTAGTGGGTAGTGCTGGTGGTGTAAATAGTAGTGCTGGTAGTAGTGCTAGTAGTGATGGTAGTAGTTGTGGTAGTAGTGATAGTAGTGCTGATAGTAGTGTTAGTAGTGCTGCTAGTAGTGCTGATAGTGCTAATAGTAGTGCTAGTAGTGCTGGTAGTGCTGCTAGTAGTGCTGGTAGTAGTGCTAGTAGTAGTGCTAGTAGTGCTGGTAGTAGTGCTAGTAGTGCTGGTAGTAGTACTAGTAGTGCTGGTAGCAGTGCTAGTAGTAATGATAATAGTGCTAGTAGTAGTGCTAGTAGTAGTGCTAGTAGTACTGGAAGTAGCGCTAGTAGTGCTGGTAGTAATGCTAGTAGTGCTGGTAGTAGTGTTGATAGTGCTGGTAGTAGTGCTAGTAGTAGTGATAGCAGCGAGGGTAGTAATGCTAGTAGTAGCGCTAGTAGTAGTGCTAGTAGTGCTGGTAGTGCTGATAGTAATGCTAGTAGCGCTAGTAGTGCTGGTGGTAGTGGTAGTAGTGCTGGTAGTAGTGCTAGTAGTGCTGGTAGTAGAGCTAGTAGTGCTGGTAGTAGTGCCATTAGTAGTGCTAGTAGTGCTGGTAGTAGTGCTAGTAGTAGTGCTAGTAGTGTTGGTAGTACTGCTAG